TTGCCCTTTCTTAAGGAAAGGGCAATCCTATTTATGCCAAAGGAGTGTAGTTCTCTCATTTTCCATGACTTTCCATGACTAACCAGGCTTGGTAAATGTATTAGAAATCAAGTGCGACCCACAACTAGCTTGCTAATCATGTAGTGAATGTAAGAGAATCCCATAGAACCATCTCTTGGGTTCCTAGCCTATAGGAAGTGAAAAGGAGGTCCAAGGTCAGAGTACCTATAGATAAATTATGTCATAACTTAACCAATCTTGTGGGTAACTAAGGAGCGATGACGTGTAATGAATCATAGAGGATTGTAGAAGCTTCTAGAGCTATCGTTTATGTTCCTAGGCCTCTAGTTGGTAGAGATATGCCATGTGGTAGTATTGGCCCACCCCCTTAAGGAGGAGATTTTCTTAATAACTTGTTCAATGAGTGTTCAAATGATATGCCGTGATGTATGTAGCATAAACAGATGTAGTAGAAGAGTTTGCAGCAATCGTTGAGTAGTATTGCTTCTGTTGTTGGTGTGATAAGCCAAGATATGTATGGTGACTTGTAGGTTTGAGGAGGAGATTTCTAAGTTTGCTCTTGAGTTTGATAGCAAACTGAGTGCAACGAATGTCAGTATAACAGGTACCACTCCGGGTCCGGATCGTATCCGACCCAACTAACCCTGTATTGTAGTTGCTTCCAGTGGAGCCTTACGGCGAGGATCTTTCCCATTTCCCATTCCTCTACGCCGTCTATCACTTCGCTGCTAGGCTCAGGCGGATCCTGACCAGGTAGGGGATTGTTCGGATCCTTCATGAGTATGTCTGGTGAGAACACATCGTGTATTTGCGAACCGGTAGGTAGTTGCAATCGAAATGCGTGCCCAATCCGTTCCAACACCGTATATGGTCCGACCCATTGTTGGCCCAGCTTGCGGCTAGGACGAGAGTTTTTCAAATTTTTGGTCGATAGGTACACTCTATCTCCTACGTCCCAGTCGATGGCCCTTCGGCGTCGATTCGCGTGCTTAGACATTTCCTCTTGTACCTTTGTCATGTTTTCCTTTGCGTGGACCCATGCGGTATGCATTCGGTCTGCCACCGCCTTGGCTTCCTCTCGGTTTAGGGTCTCCCAGGGGTTGGTGCTTTTCAGAGTGTTCCAATCCCAACTCGTACGCGGATCAGTTCCGTACTTGAGTCGGTAGGGGGTCATGCCAATGGATGCGTGGGGGAGTGTCATTTGCACGCGGTCCATTATGGGGATGAGTTCGCTCCAGTTATCCTGATAATGGGATACGAAAGGCCTCAGCCTCTGATCGATGTATCGGTTCATGATTTCCGTCTGCCCGTCGGTCTGCTTATGATAGGCAGTCGACAGCTTAACCTTAACGCTGATAATTCGAGGAGGGGTTACGGCAGGGGAGACGGGAAAGGAACAAAACTACGATCACGGAGGGAAAGACAAAGCGGAAGAAACAGAGTCGTTGCTGTCTGCGACTCTAAACTAAAATACCCTCCGAGCCAGGGCGCACTCACCACCGTAACCCTTGCGGGAGACACCCTTCCCAAACGTCTCACCGGCGTCGCAACAAGCGGCTACCACCATGAGAGACGAAGGGTCGAAGTGACCCCACGCGAAGGGCCAGGCCCGAGTCCCCTCCGACACAAGGTCTTCCCCCACCTAGGCCCCATAGGCCGCCCCAACTTCCCCATCCTCCCCCTCCCTCCTTCCATCACCCCGAGTCGGAGCGACCGCGGGAGCGGCAGCGGTGGGCAGTTTGCCCACAGCAGCCACCAACTCCCCCAAGAGAGCAGGAACGCTCTCCTGTTCCGTCCGGAGACGGCGCAGCGACGACCGAATTTGCTGCCCAGAGTCAGCATCGGAACCACACTGAGTCACGAGGGGAAGGGGGTCTACTCACGGCCAGCCCCAACTCGAGGGCAGCCCGAGTGGCGCATGCCTCCTCGTAGAGGTCACGCTCCGCCTCGGAGTGGAACTTTGGCACGCTCTGGGCAGCCAGGAGGGCCACCCGATTGGCCTCGGTGGCGGCGGCGACGACGTCGGCGGGGATGAGGGGGGTGGCCTCTTCGGCGGCCAGGAGGGCCGCAAACTCTTCCCCAAGGAACCAGGGCAGCTTTCACCAAAGTCAGCAACGGCCAACCAAACCAAACTCCGAACCCCACAAGAAAACCTACCGGGATGCAAGGCGAGTGCTGCGACGTGCAGTACCCACACTTTGAACTGGTCGAGGACCAGATGCAGTCGTGGGACTGGATCCCATGGGCTTTGGCCCGAAGGCAGCGCAAACAGAGCACATGGAAGGCGACAGTAAGAGCCCCTGAGGGGGTGGGAACCGGCATCTTCAAATTTGGAATCTGTGATTCCGTCAGCCCAGCACAAGTTATCAACACCGCGCCAACGCGCTCCCATCACCTACTCGTTCTTTGGATTGGAGGATACTATACAATCTATCAGTATCATAAACAAACGGACGGGGAGGGGCCACTTATCGGTCTCGGGCGGGAGGGTTGCTGGCGTTGTTGTTGTAAGGTAAAAACAAGAGGAAGTGGGCGAAGCGGAATACTCAAATGTTGGCTTACAACAATGAATGCCGAATCGGGTTAGCGTGGCCACTTCTTCTTTCACGTTTTACGAAAATTCTACTCAAACGGGTAGCGGACACCTTCCGGTACTGTTTCGGACCCCAAGAACGAACGTTAGATCCAACAAAAGCGAACTCCAGTTTCGCATGCCACACGGACCCTAACGCGATACCACCTCGGGATGACTACGGTGGCAAACAAAGCACCTTCCCGACGCGCACGACAAACTAAGTTGTTCCGGACGCAATTACCAGCCAACATTATGATAACAAGAAACGCTCCGTTCACGGAGACGATACGGAGACGATTCGGAGACGTTGCGGACAGGATACTAGCCGCGTGCATTGTGGACATGATACTAGCCGCGTGCCTTGCGGACAAAGCACTCTCTCAGGAGGGGGGTAGTGTAAGGATGCCTTCTCGTCTCTCATTCTAGGGAGTAGACTCCGGGTAGCCGCGGGGTAACGTGTGATCATTTGGGTGGCCTAACCGAGTCGGAACTGAGTCGGATGGGTTTCGGATACTTGAGAAAATCGACTGACAGGGGTTCCCCATCATCTTTTTTGTATCCTTCATAGTAGACCTATAGGATAGCATCTGTTTAGCCTCCGACTCGCACTCTCATATGCTATTACTGTGAGCTGGGTGCCCTGTGTCCTTACAGTCACGATTCACATAAAACTGAGCAGTTTATCACAATAGCAGAAGAATACAATGTTATTCTATGTGCGCTTCCACCTCATACAACACATCTGCTTCAGCCGCTTGATGTTAAAGTTTTCCAACAGTGCAAGCACTTCCATCAAAAGGCACTTGATAAAGCAGTCCGGAGTTTTGATTATGAGTATAAACTTCGAACATTCCTCTCTGATCTACCACATTATTCGCAACCAGTCATTGACTGTAAAGACTATACAGTCAGGGTGGAGAGAAGCTGGACTTTGGCCATACAATCCAGCATTAGTTATTGATAAACTAAAGGATGCTAGGAACGAAACTCCAGAGTATGAAGATCCTATTCCATACAATACTACAATGACACCTAAAACGAGTAGGCAGACAGTAGAAGGGGTTGAGCATTGGCAAAGGAAAGCTGAACAGGTTTTTAGCTCTCCATCTCAGCATGGATTTGAAGCTTTTGCACATGGGGCTACAATGGTTTTACACCGAGCAGAATTGTATAAGACAGTGCTTGATATTGTTGCTCTCTGCACATTTCAACAAAGGGAGGCAAAGGCTCGGGCACGGAAAAGCTTACAGAGTGGTGGTCAACTATATGCTCATGAAGCACGTGCAAAAAGAGAAGAGAAGGAAGCAAAGGCAAGGGCAAAGGCGGATGCGAAAAAGGTACGAGTCAGCTCAGGTAGCAAAACAGCTACTAAATATGGCTAAGCGGTCTGCAATTGAAGACCGCAAACCAGAGCGTAAGCATGTTGCAGACCGTAAAGCAAATGGTTTGAAGTTGCTTGTAGTGGTCTAACAGTATAAGGCATACAAGAAGAGTAGCGACGACGAAGATGAAAATGAGTCGGTACAAAGTTTAGATAGTGAAAATAGCTCTGTTAATTTTATATTGTTCAGGTAGTTATCTATCAATACTACGCTATTACCTCGTTGATTCATATATATGTACATCGTATTGATGCATACCCAAACTCGCTTTCGCCACCTACTCGCTTCGCTCGTAGGTGGACAAACCACCGAGTTGCCCATTCCCGGTTGCTAGGCTGAACAGCTTTGCCTCTACCACGTCGATCAGCGCATGTAACGACCATGCCAGGGCAAATAACGCCCATCATAAAGCCTGTCTCGTCAAAGTTGTAGAAATCGCAGTCTTGAATACCGTATTTCGCCCGCATATTCTCTACTAGCCGGAACCACGATCTAATAAGCTCGGAATCTTCGCATAAGGCCCTTTGGAAGTCGTAAACGCGATTGAAACGCGTCTTTAACTCTGGTCGTCGTTTTACAAATCGATGTGCCTAGAGCTTTCCGACGCGTCGTCCCCCTCGAGATTCCAGTATGTAATTTGCCATATCTTCTACACGAGCCAGTTGGGGGGCAAATCCTCTAACATCCATATCAAGTATATGCTGAAGAATCATTTCCTCCTCTAGTTCGGTTAATTTGTGATTTGCTGGTCGACGTTCGTGAAGAGAAGTATAGCCGTTCATTCTGAGCCGAAGTGTAGATTCAGGAACTTTATATATTTTCGCAGCAGACCAACGACTTAGTTTTTTGGACGTTCGAATAGCCTCGATAGCTAGAATGATTCGTGCTTCTTAGGTTTGAATTTCCATTTGTAGTTGTTGAGAAAACGCGTGTTGAAGTTAAAGGGTACGTTGGGGAAAAGTGCGCAGGGTCCTGATAAACCACGTTATATCTTTCCATTCAATTTATAATGTGCACATCTCTCCATTCGATTTCCAACATGCACAAAGCTGCAATGCAATCACCCAACGTACAGAAGGCTGTATACAATTCAATTGGCCAAGATGTATTCATTCCACTACCTAACGCAATTTTAAAAATGCTCTTGCGTGCCCAAGTCCAAATCAATATCCCCTTGCTCAGCAAACTGACAAAATACTTGAACTTCATAACTTGATTCAATAATCAATCCATTCGCGGCTGCCGTATTCGATTTACTATTTGGCGGTAGAGTCCAGTGGCTGGATCTTCGTGCTATCGAGCGACGCCGTCTGTGGCGTAGCAGCATCTTGTGTCGTAGAGGCGGCTATGGAGACCCAGTCAGCATCATCAAGGATACACTCCCCAGAGATATGAAATCCAACCTAAGAGGCCTTGCCACACCCACTACAGGCACACTTGCCCTCAGCACACGCGCAGTTCTTTGAATCACCACCACAGTTACAAGTTGTCTTGCCTGAGCTTGCGGTTTGGCTTGCGGCTTGGGTCCTCGATGCCTTTGGGCACGAGGAGCAGGCACACTTGCCTACTTCGCAGGAACAGACCTCGTTGTCGCCGCCGCATGAGCAGGTGGTCTTATCGGTGCCTGGCACTGCCTTCTTCGACTTGCTGGACTTCGCGCATCCAACGCAGTCGCAGCTGCCAGGGGCACAGGTGCATACAGAAGAATCAGAATCACACTTACAAGTAGTCGTGCCAGCTTCCTGTTTCTTGAGGTCGGCGAGACGGCGAGCCTCGCGGTGGATATCCTCGACCTGCTTCTGGGTTTGGGAGTAGAACTGGACGACCTTCTGGCCGGTTGGTGTCTCGGCGGCCTTCTCGTAGTATGATGCTAGGCTATGGAAGAGGCCTTGAGCCTTGGTGGAGATACCGTAGGATTGGTCCGCAGACTTGGCTTTCTCGGTGGCCTTGTACTTGTTGTCGAGGTTTTGGAGCGTAGTCAAGAAGCGACTGGAAATACCGTGCTTGTGGTCCAGGTCGAGCGCACGTTGCGAAGCCTGGTCGCCGATAACGTAGCCATGGGCGAGGTACTCGGCGATGATACGGGAGCGGGGCTTCTCCTCCTGGGTAATCTCGTCGCTGTCCTTCTCGCGTTGGGTTTCATCGAACTCCTTAGCACCTTCGGCACCGGTTACGGAAACTTGGGACTTTCCAAGCTGGGTGTTATCCAGTAGGAGAGCTGTCTTTGCTGCGGTCTCTTTCTCGAACACAACTTCTGCGCTTTGGGTGTCTGCGCTGGGGGTGATCTCAATGGACTTGATCTTCCCACAGAATGAGAAGAAGCTGGTTTAATGTTAGTAGGAACCTCATGCGACATCGTTTGATGCCAGGATTGAAAAACTTACTCTGTTACCTCCTTCTTCGAGGTCGCACTCGAGATGTTCTTGACATAAACAGTGTTGGCCGACATATTGGCGTATGTGGGTGGGTGGCGTGATTTTTGAGTGTTTTATAGTTTGAGATACCAGTGGTTTGATGGAGATAGTATCGAGTGTATCTGTGAATGTTTTGTTTGCAGGAAGACGAGATGGCAACGTAGATTCTTTTTGTACTCGCGAATATATTGGGCAGAGCCAAGTCATCGGTCGCGCCCGCCACTCGAGCTGGCTCTGGACGCAGTGGATGAGGTGGTGAGGGGTCGTGATGACGTCAACCATATTTACAAATACGTCGCTTCGAGATTAATCGTAGTGGTAACGTAGGTCATGGTGTTGTAATATACAGGGGCTACAGTAAGCGACCACACGTAGAACCACGAAAAAACTCAGCCCTTGCGGCTTGGAGCCTCTTAGTTAGTCAGAATCGAATACATCGAATTTACATCAATGAAAGCTGGAGTATGGAGGTATATTGACCCGAACAATATTGATCCTCCTATTCTAGAGCCACCCACTCATCCTGCCCCTGGCTTTGTGCGCGCCGCAGCACAGGCAGGCCAAGGGTTTGCAACATCTTCATCTTCGCAGCAAGCACCCGCAGGTGTGGCAACAAGAGGGCGATCCTCTGCACAGCAACCTCAGCAGTCTGTCGAAGACCAACAACAACTTTCCTCGCAACTGATGCCAATCACATATGCGAGTTTGACCGAAGATCAAAAAGAAGAAATTCGGATCCTAAAAGACGATTACCAACATGATCGTAAGATGTGGGAGAAACAAGAGGAAGCCGTCCAAGGCATCCGCGCAAAATACAAGAGTCAAATCAAACGGGACTTCCTCCCGTATACATATGGCTGTGATTCAGCACACGCGATGCTTGTGAATCTGAAAACACGCTTCGCACCTACCGACCGTGGTAGAATCGAAGAATGGAAGAGTGAGTGGAGAACATTGCAAAAGATACCAAAGGGGTCAACTGTCGATGATTGACTGTCGCAAGCTACAAGTTGCCCCATTCATTGGACATACACCGATCTGTCGCAAGCTACAAGTTGCCGAATTCATTGGACATACACCGATCTTTGACTTTTTAGGTGCAATCTCTTCCTCGTCACCACCATTTGTCAGTATCTTGGATATGAGACTCATCCACAAGTCAACAACATATTCTCTCACGCAAGTAATCACTGAGTATAGAGCTTACTGTCGGCAAACACAATTCTGACAGAAACCTCAGGGGGAGCATGGAGTCTTCGCAACAATGGATAATAGTGGAGAAAGTAGTGATGGAGTCTTTGCAGCAACAGACGGCAATGACAATGAACCTGCACACTACAAGGCTGCACAAATAGAAATACTTCTGCTAGACGATGTCCATGTGGATCAAAACACAAATGGAGAGATTATTATTATATTGTTGAATCAAAAAGACACAGTGGATGGAAACCTAAAAAAGAAACTGAGATGAAAGTGTGGAACTACATTGCAGAAAGACCATCTTTCCAGTCTATAATTTCCAACTACTTGAGCAAGAATGGATCAGGGGACAACAGTCTGCAAGACAGTACAACCTTGATTCTGGAGCCACGGTGCACATCTGCAATGACCTAGCAAAATTCCACAAATTCAAAAAGTGTGATAGTGAAAAATATCTCCTCGCAGGAGATCAACGGGTGATAATTGAAGGATTTGGTTCCATGAACATTGATGTTCAAAATAGCAATGGTCAACCAATAACTATTGCTCTTGAGGAAACAGCCCTTGTCTCCACTTTCCATACATCAGTCGCATCACTGCGCCGATTCATCAAGAAAGGTGTGCACTGGAACATGAAGACTGAATGCCTCACATACAGAGGCAATACAAAAAGCTTAAGGTTGTACTAGACATCGAGAAGGTATTTCAAACCTCATTTGAACCAAGACGTGCCTTATAAGGGACTGCAAAAGAGTGGCACAACTGCATGGGTCACTTAAATCAAAATGCAGTGCACAAACTGCAAGAAAACACACGAGGGGTAGAGGTGACAGACATGGACTATGACACAAACTGTGAAACATGCAAGCTGTCGAATGCAACCAAAATCATCTCTCGAAGACCAATCCCACAGTCAACATATGAGAAGGTACACCTCGATCTCATCCAAATGCATGAATCAGATGAAGGTTATGTGTACAGCATGCACTTTCTTTGCGACTGCTGTCCCATGAATCATCCATACCCGCTGAAGAACAAGCGCCAGGAAACACTTATGCAAACAATTAAAGATTTTGCAGCCTATGTCAAAAGACGATGGAAGTGTGAAATAAAGATCTTTAACTTGGATGGCAAGGCAGGACTCAGAAAAGAATGGGAAAACTGGGTGTAATGATGGGTGCACCAGATGTGAGAATCTAGCCACCCAAGGAAGGGATGATTTTACTAAGACAACACACTGTCTTAGGAAACAGAGCCAAAGGGTCATAGCTTAGACTATTCCACAACGCAGCAATCAGGTGTATCATGTAGTGGAGTGGTTTAGACAAGTTGTAACAAATGATGAGTCTGAGAACTCAGGGATAAGTCAGAGGTTAGCACCTCACTGACTTTTCAGAAACAAGGAGTAACAAGATCAATGCTTGGAAGCTTGGAAAAGATGTGGAAGTATGTGATAGTCGATTTGCTGTATTGTCTGCTTGCCCTTTCTTAGGGAAAGGGCAATCCTATTTATGCTAAAGGAGTGTAGTTCTTGTCATACTGACATTCGTTGCACTCAGTTTGCTATCAAACTCAAGAGGAAACTAAGAAATCTGATCCTCAAACCTACAAGTCACCATACATATCTTGGCTTATCACATCAACAACAAAAGCAATACTACTCAACCATTGCTGCAAACTCTTCTACTACATATGTTTATGCTACATACATCACGGCTTATTATTTGGACACTCATTGAACAAGTTATTAAGAAAATCTCCTCCTTAAGGGGGTGGGCCAATACTACCACATGGCATATCTCTACCAACTAGAGGCCTAGGAACATGAACGATAGCTCCAAAAGCTTCTACAACCCTCTATGATTCATTGCACGTCATTGCTCCTTAGTTACCCACAAGATTGGTTAAGTTATGACATAATTTGTCTATAGGTACTCTGACCTTGGACCTCCTTTTCACTTCCTATAGGCTAGGAACCCAAGAGATGGTTCTATGGGATTCTCTTACATTCACTACATGATTAGCAAGCTAGTTGTGGGTCGCACTTGATTTCTAATACATTTACCAAGCCTGGTTAGTCATGGAAAGTCATGGAAAATGAGAGAACTACACTCCTTTGGCATAAATAGGATTGCCCTTTCCTTAAGAAAGGGCAAGCAGATAATACAGTAAATCGACTATCACATACTTCCACGTCTTTTCCAAGCTTCCAAGCATTGATCTTGTTACTCCTTGTTTCTGAGGAAGTCTGTCCTACTATGCCAGGATTACTCCTTGATGGACATACAAAAGAAGATGCCTATGTATACGTGTATAGGACTTGTGACTTGGAAAAGGTTTATAGACGCTATCGAGACTTACTATTTGGGGGTCACAATGGCCAGGTCCGCTACTACACACATGGCTTCCTACGAGATGTTTGCGAGATGACTCTAGTTCCGCCCCATAGGTCAAAGGCCTTCAACTCTGGTCTATACTTTCTGCAGTGGTATGGTTCGCACAAGGAGATCCTTGATGCTGCAAAGAACTATGCGTTCCATCACCCAGACCTTCTTGAACTAGCAATCGATAAGGACCTATGGGAGGCGAATGCAAGGAGCGCAAAGGTTACCCACGCGAGGGCTTATAAGGACCTTGTCCGCTCCTATCTGGAGAGTAAGGGGCGTGCACTAACGGCAATGGAGAGCTCGCTGGATATGTCTTTTGGCGTCCGTTTCGAGAGCCGCATAACGTGGGCTCTTGCCCTTGAGGTGAAGCGCCAGGCGGCTATGAGGCCAGTAGGAGGCGCTACTGTGGGGGGGGTTGTGCCTAGCTCTTCGTCTTACGTCTGGACACTCCCGACAAAGACGTTCGTTGACTTTATATGTGGGAATATCAATAAGATTACTACTGCTATTGAGCTAGGCATACTGTCTAGCCCAGCCTCTGGACTTACAAAGGACCGATCGAACGTGTTATACATCTTGCTACTTTCGTTACGGGCATTTTCTAATGCCCACCTTCCGAGCCAGCCGCTGCTATGGAGGGATGAAGATAAAGCAGATAGGATGGGAATGGGTATGGAAAGGACTGTTAAAGAGTGCGGTTATGGTTGGTTCTTAGACCACATCCAGTGGGACTCCTTCTGGTTAAAAGACGAGATTGCGAGCAAGGTTCCTACGTTTGGGGCTACTTACATCCGGATGTATCATAACTCGCGTAGCAATATCCATTGTTCCACAGACGCCCTTGAGATGTATTCTAGCTTACTCCGGACGGTTTCTATGGATGCCGTCAAGGCTACTATTCTTCTGGGGTTGATTAGTCACGTCTGCTTTCGCCAGTTTCGCCATGATGTCCGGAAAACATTAAAGAAGGACCTCCTGAACCCTGACGATGTAAAGGACGACAACTCGCTCAAATTTAGCTGGGAAGGTGTGAAGGAAGGGACTACCAAGCCATCAACCCTCATTTGAGGGAACAGAACCGAATTCTGCACTGCTGACATTGCGTTCCGGCACTTCTGGCTAGACGACAAGTATGCTACAAACCCATCTTATACCTTTAATAGGAAGAATTTCGATAAACTTCCATTCCGGGTAATGTATAAAAGGTCGAAGAAGCTCGTCCAGGAGTGCAGCCTAGATTCTAGATCATACGAAGTGTACTTCAAGAGGCTGTTCTTCGAGAACCACTTTGTAGTTCCTGCCCCAAGCACATCAGGCACTCTTGGTTCTGTGGCCAAAGATAAGTCGCGCCGCTGGTTTAGCATTATCAATCCGAATACAGACGACCCGGTTTGGGGTGCGGATGATTTCGTGCCAGGATATCCTCCACCTTGCCCAGACCAGCTCGATCTCGATCGAGAGGCCCTAATAGCTCTTGAACGATCAAGAGCAGATGATCGAGCTTCAAGATAAGATGGCGGCAGCATAGCAGAATTGCGTTAGCTTGCTTTAAAGACCGCTAGCTCCCTTGAAAGACCGAGTGGATTATTGGGATAATTATTTATATTTGGGGCGGGGCTGCTAGTCAAACCACTATAATACAATCACATGTTCCCGCACCTTCATCGCGTCCGACTTATCGCGTCAGACCCCGCATTTTCTGACACATGCATTCGCCTGTATTCAACTGTAGAATTACGAATTTCGAGCCCCCCTACCTAAAAACGAATATGTATATCCATATGGATATAGTAGAATGGCTGCGTATCAGCAGGATAACATAGCCCAGCAGCTTGTTTGGGTACTCACGTGCGTGTAAATGTTAAGCGCGACTTGGGCACGTCCACCATATTTATCTTAACCCTCCCTTTGCAAACAAAACAAACGACGATATCTCCACCCCATCAACTGCCAGAGACCCAATCCATTGAACCAATGCCGCCTCTCCTCGGAGACGATAGTATGGGGGAAGACATACGTCCGTCTGATGCTGTGGATGATTACCCGCTGCCCATCCTGCCAATCCTAAATGCTGCAGTTCAACCTGCTGGAATGTTGTCCTGCCCACCACCCCGCTCGAGAATAACAAGTGCTGACATAGACAACAGCACCACCGCAGGAGGCCCAGATGATACCAATGAGCAGATGATGCAACCTGAACAGGTTCAAAAAGTACATGAACGCGATACTGAGCTTGCTGGCCTAGACCGACCAGCTCCCGATTACCAGGCTGATGAACATGCCACTGACAAGAGCAAGGTCAGCCCACATGATTTGCCAGCGAAAGGGGACATCTTCCACGTTGGAGTGGATGACAACAACAGGCCCTCTGAAGATGATGACAGTGAGGCCGTTTGTGTCAAGGGGAGAAAGAGTGCCAATAGGACCCGTCAAACTCAGTCTCGGTCGAACCAGGTGACGACTCCACACCACGCGAGCCCACAGAATAGCAAGTCACCACAAGAATCTCCCGACGGATATCCTGCGAGAAGATCAATCACCGGTCTAAGCCTTCAGCCAAATGCACGAGAGAGCATTCCGAGTCTGAGTCTGGGTCCGACGGCTGCGACTCACCCCCCACCAAGAAGACAAGCCACGACCGGGGGCGCTACCTTCGTACTTTCCAGCCTCAGCCGCGCCCTATCAGCAAGGGTATTGTGCCCATCACAGATGATATTGATGTGGTCAAAACCATTGCCTACCAAGGCAAGCCCGGTATTGTAATGCTGAATGGCGTCATTGCGTGGACCAAATGTCAGAAGGATCTAAACGAGATGGTTCAGTCTCACCTCATTCAGGCACGGCCAAAGTACACCCAACTCAATTTCGAAGATGCCTACAATAGGGAAGCTGCATTTGCGCAACAGGTGCTAACCTCTGACTTATCCCTGAGTTCTCAGACTCAAAATTTGTTACAACTTGTCTAAACCACTCCACTACATCATACACCTGATTGCTGCGTTGTGGAATAGTCTAAGCTACAACCCTTTGTGTAATGGTGGGTGCACCAGATATGAGAATCTAGCCACCCAAGGAAGGGATGATTTTACTAAGACAACACACTGTCTTAGGAAACAGAGCCAAAGGGTCGTAGCTTAGACTATTCCACAATGCAGCAATCAGGTGTATGATGTGGTGAAGTGGTTTAGACAAGTTGCAACAAATGTTGAGTTTGAGAACTCAGGGGTAAGTCAGAGGTTAGCACCTCACTGACTTTTCAAAAACAGAGAATAACAAGATCAATGCTTGGAAGCTTGTAAAAGACGTGGAAGTATGTGATAGTCGATTTACTGTATTGTCTGCTTGCCCTTTCTTAAGGAAAGGGCAATCCTATTTATGCCAAAGGAGTGTAGTTCTCTCATTTTCCATGACTTTCCATGACTAACCAGGCTTGGTAAATGTATTAGAAATCAAGTGCGACCCACAACTAGCTTGCTAATCATGTAGTGAATGTAAGAGAATCCCATAGAACCATCTCTTGGGTTCCTAGCCTATAGGAAGTGAAAAGGAGGTCCAAGGTCAGAGTACCTATAGACAAATTATGTCATAACTTAACCAATCTTGTGGGTAACTAAGGAGCGATGACGTGTAATGAATCATAGAAGGTTGTAGAAGCTTCTAGAGCTATCGTTCATGTTCCTAGGCCTCTAGTTGGTAGAGATATGCCATGTGGTAGTATTGGCCCACCCCCTTAAGGAGGAGATTTTCTTAATAACTTGTTCAGTGAGTGTCCAAATGATATGCCGTGATGTATGTAGCATAAACAGATGTAGTAGAAGAGTTTGCAGCAATCGTTGGGTAGTATTGCTTCTGTTGTTGGTGTGATAAGCCAAGATATGTATGGTGACTTGTAGGTTTGAGGAGGAGATTTCTAAGTTTGCTCTTGAGTTTGATAGCAAACTGAGTGCAACGAATGTCAGTATGACACTTTGGCTCTGTTTCCTAAGACAGTGTGTTGTCTTAGTAAAATCATCCCTTCCTTGGGTGGCTAGATTCTCACATCTGGTGCACCCACCATTACAGTTCTCTCATTTTCCAAGACTTTCCATGACTAACCAGGCTTGGTAGCTGTAGTCAACGTAAGAGAATCCCATAGAACCATCTCTTAGGTTCCTAGCCTATAGGAAGTGAAAGGAGGTCCAAGGTCAGAGTACCCCTATAGACAAATTATGTCATAACTTAACCAATCTTGTGGTTAACTAAGGAGCGATGACGTGCAATGAATGATAGAGGGTTGTAGAAGCTTTTGGAGCTATCGTTCATGTTCCTAGGCCTCTAGTCAGTAGAGATATGTCATGTGGTAATATTAGCCCAGTAACTAAGGAGTGATGATGTGTAATGAATCATAGAGGGTTGTAGAGATATGCTATGTGGTAATATCAGCCCAGTAACTAAGGAGCGAAGACGTGTAAGGAATCATAGAGGCTTGTAGCAATCATTGAGTAGTATTGCTCTTGTTGTTGGTGTGATAAGCCAAAATATGTATAGTGACTTGTAGGTTTGAAAACTGCTGGGTACCTCTTCAATCGATTAACCACAGCAGTGCTCAACTACAAAACCCCTTATGGACGATTATTAAAGCTCCCTAATATTCAAACAGAGAACGTTAAGCCTCTGTTGTCGCATGTTCACATTTACGGGTGTCGAGCATATGCCCCTATCCAAAACCGCCCAAAATTGGACAGACTCAAGAAGAGTGCACAAATTGGTTATTTGGTAGGATACAACTCTACAAACATTTTTCGCATCTGGGTACCGACACTCAAAAAGGTAATAGTAACAAGAGATGTTGCTTTCAATGAAAATAAGATGTTTGATCCACTGTACACTTCTGTCGCAACACCAGCTGAAATCCAGCAAGCGGTAGAAGTCATCGAACTGCCTGAGTCGGACAATCAGTACATCGATGATCATGAAGATGAGCAACAGCCATATCAACCTGCAGATGTCACTACAAACCAAGATGTGGAGCCACTGCAGGGTGAGCCAAAACATAGTGGAGAAAAATCTCATCAAGATAGTTTCTCAGGGGGTGATAATACTCACTTACGGACTCCGGAAATGACCAGAACGAACTGATCATAGTGTGCGAAGACACGATGTCTATTCCACCACCATCCAACATCCAAACTCAGGTGAAAGTGTAATAGTTGGTACGACCTTTAACAAGCAAAGGGTCCATCGCACAGCATTGCCTACAGCCCCAAAATACTGGGACCAGCTCGATGTAACGCTGACTTCTAAACGATAGAAGACACAGAGGTTCTCTTGCGTAAAGGTTTACTTATCAGAGGAGGCAGGGGATCAGACACAAAGGCTTCAAGTAACACGTTACTAGTATATAACAAATACTGTATTGAGTTGAGCACGAAGCTCCTATCTAAGGAAATACTATCTACTTATATAGTGGCGTCGTGCCTAGTGGACTCTTGGGAACTCACTCGAGTCCTCGGAGTCCTGGACTCTTAGGACTCTTCTCATCATCCTGCGAGTCCATCACGTGCCTAGTGGACTCCTGGGAACTCACTCGAGTCCTCGGAGTCCTGGACTCTTAGGACTCTTCTCATCATCCTGCGAGTCCGTCACGTGATACTTTCAGAACTACTATTCCCCGCTGCCCCTCCAGGTACCAGGGCCGGTCTCATGCGACCTCCCTCCTTCCTGTCCTGTAGTTGGCCAGCCTTCTTGTTCTGTCGTAACACTCGAAAGCCACCCACATCAGATCGGCTTCAAAACAGCAGCTGAGAAGGAAATAAATGACCTTCGAAAACAGGGTACCTTCACATCTGTTCAAGATGAACAAATATATTCATTTGTAATACCTCTTATGTGGGTATTTACATACAAGTTTGACGATAGTAGCTACCTTGTAAAATACAAGGCTCGACTTGTTGTGAGAGGAGATCTGCAGCGATACTCTATCCATGATGAAACGTATGCAGTGACACTAGCATTGCGGACTTTCCGTGCACTTATGGCAATCACAGCCTACTTCGACCTCGACACTGATCAAATGGATGCGATCAATGCATTCAGAAATAGTCGCATTGACGAAGAAGTGTATGTGCGCTGTGCAGACAGATATCAAGAACAAGGGATGTTCTGGAATCTCAACCGTGCCCTTTACGGATTACGACAGTCACCACTACTTTGGTTTCGTGACTTCTCAGAGACGTTAACATCTCTAGGTCTTACACAAGTTCCTGAAGCACAGTGTCTGTTCATGTCCGATAACCATAATAGTCTTCTTTTATATTGACGACATCTGTATCCTCAGCCACCCAAGACATAAGCGTGAAGCAATAGACTTCCACACAAAACTCATGGAGGCATACGAGTTCTGGGAAATAGGGGAAATAAAATGGTTCCTCAGAATTAGAATTGTGTGAGACGGCACTCAGCGCAAACTGTGGATGTGTCAAGATTATATATTGAAAAGATTATTGCATCTTACAAGGTCATGCAAACAAGGA